AATAGGAGTCACCTTTTCCCATGTCACTTTTCTACCACCAATCACAAAATGGGTAGTATGATAGTTGCAGTCCAAGTCTAGAGTCAATACAAATGTGAGTGGAACACCCTAGATTTAGAGAAGACAAACTTGGATATCAACACGATTGACGAGAATGGCTGAAATCAAACTTCATTAGATTGAATTTAAACCTGGATTCTATTGGAATTATCTTTCCTAGCCTTTGGGACACAGTCTCATTGACTGAAGAGCTTAGACAGTGTGATCTCTTGAAATGTTATTAGCAATTATAAGATGCTTTAGAAGCCAAAGGAACATTGCACAAACTGTTCAAGAACCCTGTTCTTGTTTTTAAGATGTTTGAAATTCACTGAAAGCTTTTCCCCATGATGAAGGCCCACAATATGATTCAGCAGCTGATGCCCCTGAGTCTAACACCGGGATCCTTTGGTGGGAGAAGAGAACTGTCTCCTGAAAGTTGTACTTTGCCACTTTGTCATCTTAGCACCAAATCTTATAGACATGCATGCATATGCATATAGTAATAATTAACCATTTTTTCTTTATAATGAAACCCTCATTTTCTAGTATTCCAGGTTAGGAAAACTTCATCTTTAGAAGTGAAACTTCTTTAAGAATTCAAGGTTCTTTTTTTAAGAGACTATAGAGTAAAAGTAGTTCTCTTGTAGCTTGCTTTGGAATTGGCTTCATATGGCACAGATGCTAAGGCTACCGAATCCTACAGCAGGCCTCCTGCCTGCAACAGAGAAAATGCCAGAGAGATGTGACTTTGAGATTATGGAGTGCATTTTGTTCCCAAGAATGTTCATCTCATTTCAGGGCATTTAGTGTCCTTGGACCTTAGTGACTAAATGCCAAAACAAACCCCCAAACATTGTGAGGATCCAAAAAATAAAAGCCTGCACCTCTGCCCCCTTCCAAATCCCTCGCTGAGAAATGGAGCACTCCAGGTTGAGAAATCAGGCCACTGTCAGTTTTCACTCTGCTCCTGGAAACTTACTCCTGAAGCATGTCCCTGTGTGGTTGTCAGAAGCCACAAAGGCCAAGCATAAGCCCCTTACAGTGGGGACACTAAAAGAGAACATAGTACTTAAAAGAGGGCATCATCCATGGCTTCTCAGAGAAACTGGGCTCCTTGGCTCTGCAGTCAACAGGGAACTGAAATTCAGGCAAGTTCTCTGAGGTCACTCATTAACTAGGCCACACTCATCCTACAAACAAAGTTCCCTTAGAACCCAGTATGTCAGTGCAGTTCAACACTACTTCCTCACGATATGGCCCTAACTGTTTGTCACTTATTGATTTCATCAACCTCATTTCTCCCTTCTACAGCTGTAGAAACAAAAATCTATAGTCTCCCACACAGAGCTGAAAACCGAAACTTGGGGGGAAGATGTCATTCCTTCAACTTGTCACTGCCTAAGAATGGTAGAGCTGGCATTCACACAGAAGTCTATCAAGCTGATTAATTCAGGGACATAAACTCAAGTTCACTATGTTGGCCAGCCTCCCTGATGTTCTTTCATTTATCTTTCTTTAAATATCAGAGAAGTTAAGTGAAATCCCTACGATATGAACTAGGTTCCAAATTGACGCTACAACACAGTCGTTTTGTACTGTGTTGTGCTGGACTTGTTGTTCCTCATTATTGCTAGGACTGCACTCAGCAGGGCCACCTCATTAACTGAAGAAAATGTCCCCGGGTGTTGCAGGAGACAGGAATCAGATGGAAAGCATAAAAACAAGTTCTGCAAATGCTCCTGTTCTCTCATTCACAGGGTGCAGTGATCTACCATTCCAGTCTAAGTGGCATTTTCCTTATGCAGCAGCAGAAGTATTTAGAAAAAGATGGAAGTGGTTTCAGAGTTGCCTTCAAAAACTCTTTCCCAGTGTTTCCATAACACAGCAAATTGGGGCTTTGAGCACACTTAATTTTTGGTCTGATTTAGGTTTTTCCATGTAGGAAACTGACAGTTTGCCTAGATTGGTCCTTATTGGCTAGGAGAAATTACTAATAGTGAGTGAGACATTTAGGGTTTTTTTTTTTTCTATTTTGTTTTACTGAAAGCAAATTCAAACTCCAGCACTTCACTAAATATATTGATATATTAAAAGCTATCTCCCAGCTGTGTGTTAACTGAAATACTGTGGCCCCAAAGGGGGGGAAGCATTTTGGGTTTTTTTTTTTTCTATTTTGTTTTACTGAAAGCAAATTCAAACTCCAGCACTTCACTAAATATATTGATATATTAAAAGCTATCTCCCAGCTGTGTGTTAACTGAAATACTGTGGCTCTGCTCCTTCCACAGTGTATTCTCTGTAGAGAACCCAAAGTGACTTATTTCGTGTTTCAAACATGTAGTTTCCATTTTGTTTGTAATAAAATTAAAGCTTCTTTGTGAACCTGTAGTCCTCTATGATCTGCTACTGTGTATCTCTCTGATCAGACCACATATTCTTTCTGTTAAATGGATGATGATGATGATGATGATGACAATGACAGCAATGAAGATTGTGATGTTTTCAAACAGGTCTCATTTACCCTAGGTTGATCTTGAATTTCCAACGTAGATGACAATTACTTTGCACTTTTCATCTCCCTGTTTCTACCTCCTAAGTACAGAGATTGCAAGTGTACATCACCCATCCTGATGCTGTACATATTCAATGCTGGCGACCAAACCCAGTGCTTTGCATATCATCGGCAAGCCTTTTACAACTGAGCTACATCTTCAGCCTGTGTGCTTGATTTTAATGAACACTTTTAATATTATGATTATTTTATCATGTCATTGACTTCTCATTTACTATGAAGAATAGGCCAAAAGGAAAGCTCTGGGCAGAAGGGAATCTTCTACCATAACTAGATCAGAACTGAGACTATAGTAGAATTCAAGCATACCTGCTCAATGAATGGTTGAATGAATGAATGAATGAATGAATGAGGTAGCAATCCTCTGCCTGGATCTCAATGTAAGTCTCAGAATCACAGCATATGACTCCAATATGGTTATTGAATGGTCCAGATCTAAATAAATATGGGGCATTAGAAAATAAGAACTATAAATTTCAATTATTCTTTGTTTTGCCTATCAAGAACAAGAATCTTTCTGGTAAGTGGGAATATAAGCCATCAAGGAAAACCAGGACCTGCTTTAAGGAAGATATATTTGAGAGCATGTCATTTGTCTCTAGACTGATGTTTTCCTTTCATGCAATTTAGAGTTCCTGCACACTCAAGCAGGCATCTACAAGTGCTTACCAACGTGTTACAGACCATCATCAGAACACTTCTGAGTCTCTGTCTTACACTAATGTCCTTGTCCTGTCTCATACAAAAAAGAATATGTTTCTCAACATTCCTCTCAGAAGCATCCTTACTTCCAAAAGAAGGGCTTCATCCTGGGCTCTCCTTCCATAGCAATAAACTAGGTTTGCCCTGAGTACTTGGGGTTCTAAAGCATCTATTTGTCCCAGTTGTCCTTTTATTGAGTTCACAGACTACACATGGAAAAAGGCTATTACCACACAGAGATGTTTAAAAATGAAAACCAAACTAGTACATGGACTCCGACAACTGGGATAAGAAATATAATATTTATAAAACCGAGTAGGAGGTTGCAATCATTGCTCTAAAATAAAGCATTAAATATTAATTCAGAGCAAACCTATCTGTGCTTCGGCAAGCCTCACTTTCATTAAAGTAGCATTGTGTGTTTCCCAGAATTAAATCCCAAATAGGTAAATGGCTGGTGAGAAGTGAGTGCTCTGCTGGCTGAAGAAGAGCTACCTGCAGCCTGGTTTGGAGTTGCCCTTGCCATTAAAGCCTTCCAGACCTTCACTTTGAACTAATTAATTGTGATTCTTCTGGTTCCTCTCTAGTTTTTTGCCCTTGAGTATTACTAGGAATGTTTAATTCGCATGCCTGTGTTCATCTTCATTTGATTAATCCAAATGGCGCTGTGTTATTTGATTAATTCATATGCTGCAGAATATAAAATCTCAGGGAAGACTGGGTGCCAGTTTTAAGTTGGACTTATATTTCTTTCCATGGATTTCTCATTCCAAAAACTTTATGTCCTCATCTTTATCCATTTGTGCCTATTTCCCTCCACTTTGTACTGGCATTTTTAGTATGATGTTACTGTTCTCAGTGGTTTCTTACTCAAAATTTGTTCAAAAGACAAAAGGTTCCTTACCACACTGCTTCTGCATTTTCAATGGGATGAGGTTGTTAGTGTAAAACATCCCTCTAAAGCCCTAAAATAAATAAGCTTATACTATTTTAGCCCAATTGATTTTCAAATGATTTCAAATAAAAAACACCCAGTTGTCATTGTATGGACAGTCTACACAGTCCCCAGGCAGTTTTGACTGGATTCCTACTAAATGAAAGGGACAACAATGACCAAAAATCCAAAAAGTGGATCTCAGACATTGGCAAGGTGAACACTGCTCAGCTGGGTAAATGGGTACTTAAACTTTGACCAGTGACGACAGGCCTGCTTTAGCTCTGTGAAGACCAAAAGCAAGCTGTTATGATTAAATAAAAAAGAAAAAGAAAAGTGTTCAGGGCTTTCTGAGCATGTCCTGGGAATTAAAGCATATGGCAGGGATAAGGGAAAAAAGATTTTCCTTATGCTAATGACTCTCGATGTCTGAAATAAATTAGATCCATTAGAGTTTATGCTCAATAAAAGAAAGACTTTAAGCACTCCAAAGTTAGTGACTCGAGACCAGTTTTTGCTCTGAAATTCAATCTGCCTACTTATTAATTCTTCTTGAGGCTCCAGAGCAAACAGGGGGCACAGAATCATAATTCCATCCTTTGCCAGAATTTTAAAGGACCACAGGTTTCTTTTCCTTTTTCCTTTAATTAAGCCGTCTTTTCATGCTTCCTATTTTGTTTTCCTTCATTAGTTTGATTTTGTTCCCATTTCTGTTTCATTGTTTTGTTTTGTTTTGTTTTTCTTTTCAAGGATTCATTTACCCCATTCCAACTGACCACAGAACCCAGAATGAATATGGATTTTCTTGTAAGTTTGATGTTTGGGTTTTATGCTGGGAAATAGTCCTTTAACATTATTGCCCCTGTTCAAGTTTGCCTTGCGTTGGCTCACAGATGTGCACACAGGAAATAGGAGCCTAATGTATTCTAACATGAAAAGCAAATTAGATTTTCAATGCTGAAGAGAAGGGTCATTTCAAGTCGCTGCCAGCTTTGAAAGCTATCAGTCCACCACTGACAGCACTAGTCCCCATCACGGAGAAAACATATAATGAAATTGGCTGGTATACATAAAGGGCAAGGTTCATATACTAAAAAAGGAAAGGTTAAGGAAATGCAGATCTGTTGTGCTATAAATCATGAATAAGTAAAGTCAGTCATTAAGGATTAGATATACTATTCTGACCAGAGTTAAGATTTCTTCTAACAAGGTCCCCAGTAAAACCCCACAGCAAAGTAGAGTCAGCATTTTGAAAGCAGTGTTCACATAATGAAGAGAATTGGGATGTCAGAGGGATGCTGTTAATATCTACTTGATTGACAAGAAAGTTGAAAAATCCTGGGAAGGGTGATAGTTTCTAAAGAGGGCACTTTCCAACAGTAGATTCATATAAACCGCCAGTACAATTATAGGCACTGGGCCACAGGAGTGTGGGGAATTGCTGGGAACCTCTGGCAGATAAAATGATGAGTTCTTTCTCCACATAAACCATGTGGCTCTGGGTATTGGGAGAGAGGAATGGTTTTTCAAATTCTAGATCACAAAACCTTAGATTTGAAAATCATCTATACACCCCCAAATGTACATGGATATAAACAGACCATGAAGTTTTCAGTTGATTCTCACTCCTTCACAAGCTCTTTTGCAGTGAGGTGACTACAGATTTGTTCAGTTTGGCTGAATATTGCTGATGGGTCTAAAACAAAGACCTAACAATGTCAAACTGATTCAAAAAAACTTCCTTTTTTTATTTTACTTGAATAACCAGCTTCTGCCATCTTCTCCAGTTCGATCCAAGCATGTTTCATGCTACCAAAGCAACAGCAGCATTTATAAGAATTCTCTGTTTGCATTACCTAGAAATAGCCCCCAGTGGATGGCACCTTGTATTGGTCAAATACTTACCTGCCTCCTGAGGTAGCATGACCTCATTGACCAAAACCTTTCTCTCTCTGACACATCATAGAGCTATAGTTTGTTCCAGTAATTTGAAGCTTAATCTGGAAGCTCTAATGGGCCCATAAGAAGCTCAGGGTGCTGAGAGATACTGTGTCTGTATCATAAGCTGGAATCCACATAGCTTCTGCCCCTGGTCTGGGCTTCTGAAAACACAGCTTCCTAGTCAACCATGTTCACTCCTCACACTTGCTTTGCTATATGGCACAGTTCCATGGCTCCCGTCCATTCTTGCACTGATTTAAGTGGAAGAGAGAAGAGTGTATGGGAAGTAATTTTATGACTGGAGTGGTAGTTAGAAAAACATCTTGGTTCTATCCACATACAGATTAAAATCATACCAGATGTTTCTGACAGTGTTTATGGGTTGTTTTTGTTTTGTTTTGTTGTTTTTTTTTTAATGAGTAATAGTCCTCCCAAACTTTTTCACCTGAAAAAAAGTAATAAAGTTTTTATTTCCTGTGGTTTGGGATGGTTTGGGCTCCAGTTTCTTTAAATGCCTGGCAATAAATAGTCTGTTATGATGCCCAATTATAAGATAGATTAGTGGGTGGATTGATGCAGAGTGAGAAAGAAAAAGAAATCAGAGATAATTTTCCACTGAAAAGCCATAGTCGTTTTATATAGCTTTTGAAATAGACTTGAAATTAACCCATAAAAATGGTAATAAATGTCTGAAAAAATTACTGCAATACATATGTGTTCTGTGGGAAGTTTCTAGAAGCAGTTGGTCTGATGTTTCATTCTCTCTTTCCAGCTGCTCCGGACTCTGATGATGTTGCTCTCTATGTTGGGATTGTGATAGCTGTCACCGTTTGTCTGGCGATCACTATTGTAGTGGCCCTGTTCGTCTATCGGAAGAACCACCGTGACTTTGAGTCTGACATCATTGATTCTTCAGCACTCAATGGCGGCTTTCAGCCTGTAAACATCAAGGCTGCCAGACAAGGTCAGTGAGTTTTCCTCCCTAAGAGTTATATATGTGGTGAGCAGTGTGCCTGCATAGCTTCAAATTCAGCTGCATTTGTGATAACTGGTTGAGCTAGAACATAAGCCAAGTGAAGAGAGAGATTTTGGTTGGCTTTGTTCATTATAGGAATGAAATTATTCTATATAATAAGTCAGACTTGATGAGATGCACAGATCATTTCCAGTTTGTTTTTCTGACAGCTACCTCTGTCCTGCATCTTAACTTCTATTTGAAAGAACAATTACATTGATTCATTGATTTTTCTCATCTCTTTTCACCTTCTTATAATGCTTTTAATGAAGTGATGTGCATATGAATCTGAAATTAGCATAGGCAAGCAAAACCATTACCAGATAGTGACTCATAGCTCTTACTGTTCTTTCTAGTCTGGTGAAATGGCCAAATACTCTAAGTGTCATGATTAGACTTCAAGGCAGAATATCAAAGGAACAAGGTTTACCTATCAAAGGACAATAACAAGATAGATGCTGATACTAAGCTTGCCCTGTTTCCCAGATCCTTTGATGTCTCCTTGTGCAGTTAACAGATCAGCTTTGCTTTGGCTTAAAGGTGTGAAGTGGTTTCTCCCTAATCTAGCTTGGTCTGAACAGAGAATATAAATGGAATTATTTTCTTTCTGACTCAGATCTCCTGGCAGTTCCCCCGGATCTCACCTCAGCTGCAGCCATGTACAGGGGACCTGTCTATGCTCTGCATGATGTCTCAGATAAAATCCCAATGACCAATTCTCCAATTCTGGACCCACTGCCCAACTTGAAAATCAAAGTGTATAATACCTCGGGTGCTGTCACTCCCCAAGATGACCTCTCTGAGTTCACATCCAAGCTGTCACCCCAGATGACCCAATCCTTGCTAGAGAATGAGGCTCTTAACATGAAGAACCAGAGTCTTGCGAGACAGACTGACCCATCCTGCACGGCATTTGGCACCTTCAACTCGCTTGGGGGTCACCTCATTATTCCAAACTCAGGTAATTCTTAAAAGTTTAACTGATAAAGATGCAATTTGAAATCATATTGGAGTCTCTAAAATCTTATCTCCATTTGCTTTGTATTGAGTCTGAAATGTTAAATGTAGTATAACTCAAATTTCCCTTCAGTAGATCTCAAGCATTACTTCATACAAAATCTACAAAACCATTCATCTTCATTCAACCAATTCTAAATTCGGTACCTCTAGAAAGAAGGTGCAATTCAGAATGGGCACTGACTACCATAAAGGCATAATCAACCCAGGAACCCTCATTATAGGACCTGTTATCCAAAACAAACTAATTAGAAAATGCAGTCAGTTGGTTTCCTCGAATTTTCTTGAGATAGCTATATTTCAGAAAACCTCTTTCTAAATGTTTGGAAATATTACATAATAGACACAAAAATCTTCATTTATTAATTATTCAGTAAATCATTCATCAGAAAATATTATTCCAGTCTATGATTTATCTTCTACAATCTCAACTTCATCCAGGATACATTTGTAGTTTTATGTATTTTTAAGTATATTATATAGTTTATCAATATCTAAAGAATAAAAAACAAAATGGTCTTCTGAAGGGGACTTAAGTCGGTGGCTGCCAATATTGAAAGCTGGTATTCATTTTCAGTAAAACTGATGAACTTGCAACTACAGGACATAAGACAGCCAATGGCTACTTTCAAAGCACAGCCTAACTCTTTTATTTTCCAATAAAATAACAAAAATAACTTCACTGACCTATTATAATAATGTCACATAAAATTATGTATTATATATTACCTATATGTATGAAATATACATATTGTATTTCTATATGTATTACTAATAAACACATAGCATATAATGTATAATTACATATACACTTATGTATATATAGATATGTACATATACATATATATGAGTGCAAAACCACAGGAATCTATAGCCTGGATGTGAGGCTGTCTCATGCTCTCCATAAGCCATGCTTCCCCAGCACCATAGCTGCCCCTTCTACCTCACGAATGCCATGTTTAAGCACCTTCACAGACAGGGTTCTACCAAAATTGCCAAGCCAATTGGGCAAGTTTTCTTGCTGCCATGTCTCATTGGGCACAATCTACTAAGCAATTACATGCTGCTCAAGGATACTCATTTTTTTTGACATCATAGAAGTGTCAGACACTATCCTCATAAAGACAGTCTATTCATTTTTACTGTACTTAATTAAGGTACATTTCATGGGAATGAAAAGATGGAGCCTAATATCTTCAACCAAGTCACTCTCTGTAGTGCTTGCTGATCTGTGCATAACTGGGCTGGATTTATGATAGGGTAGACCACAGACCACCATTATGGACATCACCTGAAAACTTGCTCAAATTCCATAAACAGACATTGTCAACAAGATTTTAGAGCCAGGATCTCCAGGACATCCTGAAACCAACTCAAATTGCTTCAATATTATCTGAGGTCCAATTGTCACACAGCTCATACCAATCACCCTTCCCATTGGAGCCAAACATCAACAAAGGAGAAGTGTTCTGATCTGTTGCAGCTAAGTGAGATGTTGTTGCTCATTTTCTAGAGTTGTGTATAATAAACTCTTCCCATCTCTAGCTCTGTTGTGAAATAACACTAATGCTCACCAGCTATTTCAAGGGGTGAAAATGTTTTCTGATATGGCTGAGGTTAGCATTTCCCTGACTTTGAATTTCATGGAGAACTTTTTTTTAAATCAAAAACAATGCATCATTGCAGCTGTTTAAAATTTTAATAGCAGTTTTTGGTTTCTCCACAATTTACAAGAAAAACAACAGTGGAACCATCTGTCTATTCCTTAAATAAAACACGAACTTTTAAAATGACATCACTCTTGTAAGTAATTCCATAACATTTCAGAGGGAGCTGTGATGAAAAGCAAGGCCAGCAAAAAGGGAGGGGAGCTATAGACCTTTGCATGTTTTTAGGGAAAATGCAAAGACTGTTGCTCCATGGGCACAGGATTTCATTCCCTTTTGCTTGCCCGAAAGGAACTCTAGAAGTTCCCTTTTGCTTCATAGGTCTTACATGGTAATTTTTTCTTTTTATTTTGCTATTCAGGAGTGAGCTTGCTGATTCCCGCTGGGGCCATTCCCCAAGGGAGAGTCTACGAAATGTATGTGACTGTACACAGGAAAGAAAATATGAGGTAAATATTTTTTTCTAATGCATTTGACTTTATCAATTTCTCACTTGGAGGAGAAGTGTACAATAGAAATGACAGACCCAATATATTTTGTGACGTACTTTTGAGTCTAGGTCTATTTTTTTAAGTCCAATTTTACTTCTTTCCTGTTGAAGCTTCAGACACTGCATATCATGAGTATGGATGAAATGCTAGACATCTTTTCTATGAGTGAACTCATGGTCCTTTAGCGGGATTTAGATAGATAGGCGGGCTTCTTCTGACCTGGGTCAAGAATCTAGCCATAATAGAGATAATGTTCATAAAAGTGGATACCCTTTAGCTTCTGAAATGCCCTTCCCACCCTAGTCCAGCACAGCTCCCGATATCCCTTCCCATCTGAGCCCAGCACAGCCCCTGATATATCCCTCCCAACTCAGCCTAGCATACACCTTGATATGCCCCTCCCACCTCAGCCTAGTGCAACCCTTGCACACAGATTTTTCCCTTTCCCTTTCTATCCTCCAGCATAAGAATCATCAGCCTTCTTCTTATGCTTAGCTTTTATAATTAGACCTTTAAAAATGAGCCTTGTGTTGATTAAAACCATACTGAACCCAAAGGTTCTACTTTGAATGTGCCATACCTGTCAATGTGTAGCTATTTTAAGTAAAAATAATAAGAACAGGTTAGATGTCCTAAATTCAATTTTGAGTTTAGCTTCTGACATAGCAGAGATGGTATTTCTTGATTAATTCCCACATAAAGGGGTGTGTGTGTGTCTGTGTGTGTGTGTGTGTGTGTGTGTGTGTGTGTGTGTGTGTGTGTGTGTGTGTGTGTGTATCCATGTTGGTGCACTAGAAGCCTGAGTGATTAATGCTTTCAAAAACACATTGAGATCTTAAAACAAAGGATGTTTTGAAAATGGAGATGCTGGTGTGTAAGGACCATTGTTGGTCTCAGGGAAAAGCATCTTCAGGTCTGGCTCTGAGCAGTCTGTGTGACAAAGGCAGACCAGGTGATCATCTTCATGCACTTTGCTCTCAGCCTCTGGAAGCCAGCTCTTTTTAGTCCCCTACTTCCTCTTTTGTTACACACCCAAGTGAAGACTGTTATTTATAACAGTGTGACCCAGAACATTTCCCCCTCTAGTAGTAAACATCCACCTACACAAAGAACAGCCAGACTAAGAAGTTTAAAAACAAAAACAAAACCACAGATCCTTTCACATTACTCATGCCTTAAATTTGAGCCACAGAAAATCATTAAAAGGTTTGTATTTGCTTATATCAAGTATTGTTTTTCATCCCTAGTGCAGACCAAAATTCACAGGTCCTTAGGGCTCCCTGCCTAGGGAGCAAGCCAAGAAATTAACAAACTCCAAGATGAATTTTTTGTATTTTATTTTCTCTTGTCCTAAGCCAAGGTGAGCATTAAACACATGCTGCTCCCCAAAGCCTTTGACAGACCTGAGAACTGGCTTGTTCTTGTTGTCACAGAATGCAGTATTCATGGTGTCCCTAATTTACCCTATTACCATTATCTCTAGCTAAACCCACACCATATTGGGCTACTGCCACAGCATGGGTGTCCTCTCCCATTCTCCTCTATTTTTCCTTTCCATCCTTTCAGGGTATTCTTGTCAGTGGGGTGATTGTACATTTTGCGTAGAGCGAAGGGAATAGAATATTGGTGAGGTCAAATGCCTTCTATAAGCTTCCACTGACTTCATCTTTAAGTAATGAAGGGGGGAATGCTCTATTGAATTTGGTTTGCATCAAGAAAGGTGTGTGTATATGTGTGGAGAAAGTTCAAGATCTCAAAACAAAATATGCAGGACATGGGGTGGGGAAATGGCTCAGTGTGTTAAGTGTTTGCTACAAAAGCCTGAAGGCTGGGGAATGATGCCCAGTGCTCACTTATAGGCATAGTGACACACCCATCATCCTAGCACTGGGAAAGTAAACACAGGAGGGACCCCAAGGGCTTGCCAGCAAGCCAGTCTGGACAGACTGACTAGCTTCAGGTCAGTGAGAGCTTCTGTCTCAGAAGAATAAGCTGTAGATCAGTGAGGGAGACACTAAAAGAACAAGTTAGCCTCCACATATGAGTGCTTACACCCCAAAAAAGAAAATACCAGAGACCATGAAGCAAAGACAGAACATGAGATGGTTTCTCAGATAAATGAGAAGACCTAACATCACTAATTTTCTAATATGGCACAGATGTGTCTTCCCTGTCAAAGCACCAGGGAAATGTACTTCAGGATGAGTAGCAACTCTAACTATACCTGATGTTCATTCTGCAGACACTTATATATGTTTCCATCTTAATGAACTCTGTACATTGTAATGAAACCCACTTTAAAGGTGGGGAAACTGGAGCTCAGGAAATCAAGTCTCCTCAGTGATGGAGGAGGGCTAAATACAACCCAAGTTCACCTGACCCCAGAGCTCTTCAGCTTTCCAAGATGACATCCTCCTGTATATACCACAGGCTGGCCCTCCCTTCTCATTGTCTTACATGTCGGATCTACTCATCACTGCTCAACAAAGACCTTTCCAGTACTCATGTAATACAGATGGAACTTTTCTGAGAAGTCTGGGTGAGGAAGTCAGGAGATGACTGCCACTTGAAGCCATTTGCAACAGAACAGTGAACATTATTTTTCTCCACTTTTCTTTCTCTCTGACTCCTTTCATAGCATACAGCATTGGGTGTGATTCCAGCTGGATGGCACCCAGCTGGTCATCTGCTGATGTGAGTTGTCTGACAGGAGGCGTGAACTTAATTACATGTGGCATAGTGAATGTGACAAATGGGGCCTTATCATTACTGAATGTGCTCTATGCAAAGCACAGACCGGCAGATGCACGGCCTAAATGAGCCAGAGATGGGACAAACCATATCTGACCAAGGAAGGTGAAGAGTTGCAGGGCTGGCCAGGATTTCTTCCTCTGCTACTTTCTGGAGCTCTAGAGAAAACACAAAGACTCAGTTCCAGCTTGAATACAGTTTCTGTGGCTTATGTAAAATGTGGCCACTTTCATCTTGTTTTTAGAATAAATTTTTTAAAACATAAATCTCATTGAGATGAAAATATCATCATGTATCAGTTCTTATGGACAAGATGGTTTGAGATCTGAAAGTTAAATTTCCCCCCATCTCTGTAGTCAGTACCGGTCTGGTAGTTCCGTTAATTGGCCAGCCAAAAGGAGGAATCAGTTCAGAAACCCAATGTGAAAGTGAATAGGACACTATTTGCATCCTGTGGGGAGCCACAGGAAGTTATGGACAGTTTAAGGACACAGGGTTAGCACTTCTGTTTAAAGAGTGATGTGGTAACTTGTGATGTGATGTGCTGGGAGCAGGGAACAGTACATCTCCATGAAGGTTCTTGGGTGGGTTGGGCTGATGAGAAGCGAGAATGGAGTATGCCAGGCTTGAAGACAGAGGAGTAAAAAGTGACTTACTGCAGAGCAAAAAGTGTTTAAGTGGCCAGTGTTAAAGAGGAATACATAGGATGTGTTTAAGACACAAGGTGTGGGCACTGCCAGTAAAAGAGGACTGAACAGACACTGGCTGGAGGGGAGAAGCTAGGTTTCTGAGAGAGATGTGCTCTGATGTGAGTAGGGTCTGATCTCAGACACAGACACAGAAATGAAGTCTCAGCAGGAGATGGATTTCTGAGGCAAAAAGAAACAGGGAGTGGGGGCAGGCAATGGGAAACATTCCAATTCTGAATTAGTTTGTAACAAAACTAAATGTGGAAAGATAAGGTGGGTTTGCAGCTTGTGTCTGACACAGGGGTAACATATAAATGCTCCTCCCTGAGTATTTTTTAACTAAAGAATGAATATGTATAAGGATACATAAACCATGGTATAAGAGAATTTTCAAAATCATAGGTAAAGAGGTTTCCCAAATCAAGCAGGCAATTGACAGTTCAATTGTAGGTAGTGAGGAAGAGCCATTTAAGAACTACTGGTTTGTTAACTGTAGGATATTGGTGGTAGTTAGCATTCCTCCTTTCGTGAAATCCCCTACAGTACTAGTCCAAGGTATGAGTTAGAAATGAGGCAATGAAACAACAGTTAAGTACAGATAAAGTCAGGTGGGCGGCAGGAATATTAAATAGTGGCATGATGAAGAACATTTCCTGGGAGTAGATAATCACCTGGCTATTTCATAGCTTCCAGGGGGAAAGGTAGCCAGATGTGGTGGTATGTCTAAAACTCTAGTACTCATCAGGCCAAGACAGGAAATTCTGGAGTTTAGTGTCTCAAAAATGGAAGGAAGGAAGGGGATAAAGAGAAAAGAAAGGCTTTGCTATGTTTTAAGATCTACATGAACAGTATGCCTAGAAGGAGCGCAATTCCTTCCTCTCTGCTTCCTCATAAGGAATGTATTTTGAGTCACAAACATCCTAAGACAAAAGTGGCAACAAGCTAACAAAACTATTTGTATTAACAAGGAAAGTAGATTGTGGGGGCCCAAAGTATATGCTCAGAAAAAATAATTCCACAAGGATTCGGCTAGGGCACAATGCTTAGCTGTTCTGACTTAATCTGGGGATAGATTCTCCCTGTCTGGAAGATGCACGGCCTAAATGAGCCAGAGATGGGACAAACCATATCTGACCAAGGAAGGTGAAGAGTTGCAGGGCTGGCCAGGATTTCTTCCTCTGCTACTTTCTGGAGCTCTAGAGAAAACACAAAGACTCAGTTCCAGCTTGAATACAGTTTCTGTGGCTTATGTAAAATGTGGCCACTTTCATCTTGTTTTTAGAATAAATTTTTTAAAACATAAATCTCATTGAGATGAAAATATCATCATGTATCAGTTCTTATGGACAAGATGGTTTGAGATCTGAAAGTTAAATTTCCCCCCATCTCTGTAGTCAGTACCGGTCTGGTAGTTCCGTTAATTGGCCAGCCAAAAGGAGGAATCAGTTCAGAAACCCAATGTGAAAGTGAATAGGACACTATTTGCATCCTGTGGGGAGCCACAGGAAGTTATGGACA